GAGAGAGAGAGAGAGAGAGAGAGAGAGAGAGAGAGAGAGAGAGAGAGAGAGAGAGAGAGAGAGAGAGAGAGAGTCTTGTTAATGAATCCAACAAGACACGGAGAATCCCTTTCCCCTTCCACCTTCCACCTTCCACCTTCCACCTTCTTCTTCTTTCTTGTTTTACTTCTTCTTTCCCCTTCTTCTTTTGTTTTTCTTTCTCTTGCCTTTCTTCTTTCTCCTTCTTTCTTCCTCTCCTCCCTCTTCATCTGTACTGCCTCTGAAATAACTCTGTACCGGCTCGCCAGCAATCTCTGCACTCTCTGCAGGTGGGAACAGAGCCTTTCCAAGGACCTACAGCCATGGGATCGTCATCTGATGTTGAGGTTGTGCGCTTGTGTTGTGACCTGTGCCAGGCGGAGGCTGTGGTGTCGGTGTCGGCTTGGGATGGGGTTTTGGGTGGGCTATTGGATCGAAGTATATCGAGTCCAGACCAAAATTTGAAGGTATCACTTTCCTCAAAAGTAATCAGAAACCCATCGAAAATGCAACATGCGCAGAGTCTCCGACTGCACAGGGGACGTGACGGCTCCTCCTGGCCACTCCTCCCCTTCCTGGTGAGCAGCACTCTCCGCTTCCAACTCGTCCATCCCCGTTGACCCCTTACACTGCTCTATGCCACCAGTGACTACTCTCTCGACTTCGATGTTTTGAACAACTGAAAGCACGTGGGCTGCTTCATCTTTGTTGTTCCATCTTCTAGGCCTGTGCTTCTTCAACGTTCTCTACTCTTCCCATAGATATTTTGAAAGTTAAAACTTAAAACTTAAAAGCCTTATGGCTTCCTCTTTCCTCTTCCTGTCTGTGTTTTGATCTGTTCTTTTGTCTTCTTTTTCTTGGCCATCAGATTGCCTATCCAATGGAACAGCTTGGAAAGGGAAGTCCCTCTGGTAGTGGCAGTCTTCTTCTTCTTCTTGTTTATTTTTTTATTTTTTTAAAAAATATTTGGACCGTTTCTCGATTTATGCGCGTCATCCTTGCACAGGGGCCATGCTAATCTTCTTTCTCTGTACCATTCCAATTTTAACGGATGTCCCCAAGGACTGCAGTCCTTTTTTTTTTTTTTTTTTTTTTTCACTAAACTATATTCTTCACTCATATGCCACACATTACCTACCCTGATATGTAAGTCCAGTTTTTCCTAATGGTTGCAGTTATGGGATGACTCTCCCTAATGAATCCCAGCCTTCTGCTCGTTGCGAGGTGCAGTACCCTGGCTCCTAACACCTGGCATGAGCTGCAAAGCATCCTCTTCGCTTCCACAACCAGCCAGGAGGCCCAAGCCAATTCTCTCCGCTGGTGAACCCGGAGCGTATCACAGCGGGGCGCAGGGGATCGAATGGACGACATGGGGAATCGAACCCACGACCTCCTGAACAGTGAATACCACTTACGTGCTCAACCAACTGAGCTAGCCCGCTTGGGCCTCTGGTAGTGGCAGTCTAAGGTGTCCTTACCTCCATTCCCTCCATCCTCAACCTGTTGCATTTTTTCTCGAGGCTTTCAGGGCAGTGCAATGGCCTCGCCCACGGTAACAATACGCAAAAGATGATGGGTATTTAAGACTGCTTTCCTGCACAAGTCGCAGGGATCCGCAGAACCGTTAAAGATAGTGGCAAAGCCATAAAACCCATCATAGAAGCGGTACCCTTTTTCCTCCCCATGGTGATAATGTACACAGCTTCGCATACAATGCCACCATGATGAGTTATCACAACTTATCAGGCTTGATTTTTTCTGCTGTGATGTAAGATTGCAGATCGGAAAGAATGGGATGGGCAGCTGATTGAGGAAAACATTATATTGTGCTTGTGCGCTTGCAGACCAGCGCAGCAGAGGGTAGTGGATGTGGTGGGTACTTGGTTTTGCAAACGTCTCTGCCACGGTATGGTCACTCAGCAGTTGGAATCAGGTAGTCACTATTATTGCTAAGGCGACAATGACGATCATAGGCATATACGCAAGTTTGGGGAGTTGGCTTTGGTATGTAAACTAAAATCCCCTCTCTTTCAACTTGTGTGGTATACTGGGCGTCTCTCTCTCTCTCTCTCTCTCTCTCTCTCTCTCTCTCTCTCTCTCTCTCTCTCTCTCTCTCTCTCTCTCTCTCTCTCTCTCTCTCTTTGTCTTGCAAAGACAGATGATACCTGTGCTCAATTGCTCACCTGCTGCATGTCTGCAGTCTTGCTCGCTTACTGTCTGTATCTGCATGTCTCGACTCTGCATGTCTCGACCTCTTACTTACCTGAAGCTGTCTCTTATACACATCTAGATGTGTATAAGAGACAGGTGTGTGTGTGTGTGTGTGTGTGTGTGTGAAATCAGGGTTTGGAATAGGTTGTGGCTTTGGCATTGGCTGGGGCTTTGGAGGTGAGTAGCCATCAATCAGTACCCAAAATTTATCAACCATTGAGCGTATCATCAATCCATTGTGTGTCTTCTCAGCTACTGATCCGTTTATATCTATCTATCTACCCATCTATGTATGTACCTATTGGAATATCTCTTACCTCTCTCTCTCTCTCCCCCTCTCCCTCTCGCTCTCGCCAGCTCCCTCCATTTGTCTGTTTATCTACGGTCGATCCATCTATGTATCTATGGATCGATCGATTTATCCGACCTATGTATCTATGTCCGTTTTTCTGTTTATCCACTACCTGTCTGTCTATGGACCCGTATAGTTATCTGTTGATTTAACGTTCTGTCTATCTTTCTATGTGCCTGTCTGAACCTGGTTGTGTTAATCACTATTGCTTTCGTATGAACACAAGAGGAGGGCTAAGGGGGAGAGAGAAGTGACGGAGACAAAAACAACCAGAAAGAGGAAAAGATGTGAACATGCCTATGGCAGCGTATTGCACTGTTCCATGTGTAGCTTGCTTGACCGAATAGATATGAATTCGTTCTGGAATGGAAGAGATGGAAAGGAGATAAAAAGGAAGAGATGGAAAGGAGATAAAAAGGAAGAGATGGAAAGGAGATAAAAACGAAGAGATGGAAAGGAGATAACAGACCCTCCTCCTGCAGCCTGAACCATAGAGTATGTAGGTGTGTTTTCTTTCCTGTCTGTTCTGCCCTTTAGAGGTTGTTGCTGAAGTTTTGGGAAATGTGGCCTCCCTTTCTCCTTTACTGCTCAAGGTGGGGACATCTCTGATGGATTGAAATTTGAAATGTGTCCTTGGAATGCTTTCTGTCTTGTCCTGCTCCTCCAGTTCCCGATTTTTTTCTGTGAAAGTTCTAGATGAGACTATTGTTTGACGTCTACTTTCTTGCTTGCCACTTGTGCGTCTTTTACCCCATGCTGAGTCGTTCTCCATGGAACGCTGCCTTTCTTCATCTCCCCTCTCCTTGCTGCAAAGAAAGACATCCTTCCTTCCTGGTCTGCCATCAAGAGACCTGGTCATTAGAGGCATTGTCTCCTGAAATGTCTCATTTCTTCAGACGGCGTTGTTGTCATGCTTATAGGGAAAAAGGACCCTGTGGAGCCAATAGGCTCCTCAGATTTCTCCCTCCCCCCCC